TGCTCCACGGCCAGCTTAACTCTACAGCAGGAATCCCGGGGATCTAGCTCAGCTCTTTATTCCTTTGATTGCCTGTTCAGCTTGCTAAACCAGCTCTTCCTTTGGTCAGATAAGCAGAATAACAGAAAAGTATGAGGTGCAGAAACCCACAGAAGGGCAAAGACAGAAGCATAGTAGTCACAATTTAGGTCATTTTGGTATTTAAAAAAAAAAAAAAAATACTAGCCCATGCACATTGGGTTTTTTTCAGTCACAAAACATAGTGTTTTTAAAAAAAAAAAAAAAAAAAAAAAGCTTCAGCCTTGTTTCACTTAGTTATATAAATTTCTTCCTAGGCAGAACAAGCCCAATATTATGCTTGGCTTTTGAGGTTTCTGGGGTTTGATACAAAGCCAAAACTAACTTGGATATGAAAAACATGATCTCAGATGAGCTAGCCTATGGGCAGGGAGCACAGGGGAAATTTTGACAGAAACTACGAATCCATGATACSTATTTAATCCAAAGCCAGCAAAATAAAATCACTTGCAGAGCAAGGGTTGTGCATGATCAGATCCTGCTTCAACAYGAAATACATCTGGGTGCACAAGTTTGCAAAGGAAAACTTAGCTGCAGAATCAGTATCCAAATTATCACTCCCCCCTGCCAGAATGGCCGCTTTTCAATAAAAACTTGGCGTATTAAATTGTGACTACGCTTGAAAAATATAATTGCACAAGTTACTGGAGCTGACATTTCATCCCAGTAGCCTTCATAATAAAAATGCTTAATTTACATCTTAATACAAAGCTTTTCCAGCTAGAACAAGATTTATCTTTCTTTTCTTCCTGCAGTGGTAACGATCGGGATTTAGAGCCTGGAGTTGTAGCTGTCATCTTTGATGATGCAACTTGAAACACAAAAGCAGCCCTCGAGGTCCAACCACACGGCCATAACTTCAGCAGACACATGGTTTCAACAACTCTATTAAGTAGCATGTTCAAGTCTGAAAATCCCATTAATTTTGGACACTGTGGGACAACGCGATGCCTCTATGTCTACGTCTTCATTAAGATCTCCAGCTGGGGAACCAGACCTCCTCATGGCTTGCGTTCACGGCAGGTCTTCCCTTCTCTCAGGGAGGTCACTCGGATGTGCCCTAAAAGTTTTTGGGACAGCCCCAATGTAGACATGCTCTGTCAATGTAGACATGCTCTACATGTGTCAGAAGAATAAAGAGAGGGACATCAAGCCTGAGCAAAGCAGTAGTAGCACTGCTCCTAAGGTGCACCAACAGACTTGGATGATCCTCTCCAAAAAGGCTCCTTTGCCTGCCCCTTCTCACCTAAATTCATATTTGACAACTTTTTAGGTCAAATAATAAAAATCAGAATAGACTCAGTGCGTGACTGGGGTAGGGAAAAGGTATTCGAATGTCCCAATCCCACTCAGGCAGCAGTTCAGCACACCACTATTAGACAGTCTGGATCAAGTCCATCGCTCTTGACATTTAATCCTTTTCCCTATAATTTCTGTTCTCGTTATATGCAAAAAAAAAAAAAAAAAAAAAAAAAAAAAGGTTGTCTTTAATGACAGTCAATGACAGTCATATGATATGGTTACACCCCCTATTTAAAGCAGGGCCAACTACCTTTTTCTTTTGGTAGATCCAATCAAAATGCTGTTCCAGAAAGATACTCCTTGCTTGGTGCAAAGATCAAAATGAACAAATGTCCCAAGAAAGACACTCTTATAACAGGATAGTGGAAAGAGAAACTAAAATAAGCAGTAGACATCCCCAAATGCCTTTCCACTGTTGCCAATTACATAAATTACTTAACTATATAAAATTTGTCTTTTCATTATTCACAAGTTTAACAGTAAAGAAACTCCACGAGTTACGAGCACAGTGCTATGCTAGCCATGCTCCGGAACCCATGGTTAGCAAACCAGTAGCATCACCTCAAATTTGAGGACGAACTCAATATGCCCAGGCCAACATGCAAAGCACCCAAGCCCAACATGCTGGAAAGTGCTAACTCATGGTATTTGTGATACAGGTGCACAAATTCAACATTATACTTCTGCACTGTTGCTTTTTAATTAAATGTCTCCCATCTGGCTCTTCTGCCGTTTCATGAAGCGTTTAAGATGTTGAGGCTTTTGATCATCTTACAGGGAGTTTGCAGAGCCCGTTCTCCAGAAGTCACTTATCGTTGAACAGGACTTAATAAACTCAAAGTCTCATGGGAACGCACTTCAACGCACCCATTGCTCATGCCCCATCAACCTGGAGCACATCTTCAAAGGCTTAATTTCATGGGGTGGGGTTGGCTACTGCTAAATATCTCGGCTATTGCATATCTGAAGTTTATATTCTCTTCAAGTTCTGGTTTGTACTCAGTTTGTAATCAAATATGCAGCTGCTATTTCCAGCCTAGGAAGAGTGCAAATTTCTGATKGGGGATCCCAAACTGCAGCTACGTGTAGCACAGCAAACGTATGCACCACACGGAGAGATCCTTCCTTCAGGTAGCCAGGCTCAAAGCACTTGCAACCAAGGCAAAGCTTTTTTCTCTTTCTTTTCTTCCCTTTTCTCTCTCTCTCTCTCTCTTTTTTTTTTTTCTCTTTTCTTAAAATGACCTGTGAAGTTCTTTTTAAGGTTAYGGAACTGCAGTATTTTATTCTCATCCCCCAAGGAGGGAGCTCACAGCTTTTAAAAAAGGTCTTTTTACTGCCAGCGGGGCAGCGCTTCAGGCTCCCAGCAAAGCACAGACACCCCACACCATGCAATAAAAGACCAGACAATCACATTTTTAAAGAAAAGAGGATATTCCTCTTATTTCTAGAGCCAGAAGACACTAATACAAAGATAGCTGGCCGAGATCTGCAAACAGCAGTAGAGGCCACTACAGGAGGGCAACATACCACGACAAAGTATAGCCAATGTAAATGCAATATATATAGCATGCTGTTAAGGCATTTGTTGGATTCCTGCTACCTGACGCTTGAGTATTTAAAAACAGAGGCTTATCCTTATATAACTGAACTGCTGAGCAATTTTAATGATAAAAAATAATCATCAGTGAAAAAAAAAMCAGTTGCGAGGTGAAAGGTCTACAGACTATTCAAACCCATACGCAAGGGAAGAAGCAGGGAAAAATAATTATAGGTATTTGTGCAATGCTGCTCTGCTGAAAAATAAGAAAAAAGATCTTAAAGGAGCTCACTAAAAATAGCCACAAGTCGCAGCGAGGGACATCTCAGCTGCAGAAATAACGCAGCCMCTAGAAAGCCACTTGGGCACTTTATTTTGCTACTATATTTGCAGAGCTAACGTAGCTCTTGCTCATTTACAGCGAGCTTAAGTGATATCCCGACATGGAAGCAAGCTGCAAGGAAAGCCCAGCTTGGTTAAGCCCATCCACGGTGCTTTCTGCTTAGCAATTGCTTTCTGATCAGCAATTTCAGCTGCATTGCCCTGGAGTTTTTGGGGAGCTGGAGAGAAATTACAACGGGTAAGGTGGAGGCCCATGATGGAAATGAGGGGCTCCTCGGACACCATGGGGACAGCGCGGTGGGTTCTAGGTGTGACACAAGCAAGGAGACATGAGGAGCGGTGACACAGTGAGCTCCCAGGAGCAGCACATGGGCACCTGAAGCAGCCTTTTGCCCAGGGAAAAGGAGCATCTACCTACAGGAAATGCATCACTACCTATAGGTCTTTGCAAGCTCCAAGCAAGGAGGTCATGCAGCTCCCCTTAACCCTCTGGTTTGGCCACAGCAAGTTTTAGCCACAGGTAGAGAAGCACAACCAGCCCCTCTCCACCATTAACAGCCCTTAAAATCTCTAATCTAGAAATCCGTAGAACATCTCATCATTACTGTTTTCCTGCTTTTCTACCTTCTGTCCTTCACTGTGCTTTTCTTGAACAAGGTCCCACCTGCAAACTGCTCAAGCACTTAGTCCTGGTTGTGGTAAAACCTCTGATATTCTCCCAACCCACCACCAACAGCTTTGAAACCTCTCCTACAGTGGCCGAAAGCAACTGCACCATCCTCCAACCTCCAAAGCAGCCGCCTCTGCCACTTTCTCAGAGAGATTTATGCAATAATTAGGCTGAAAAGAACCTTTGGAGGTCATCTTGTCCAAGGCCTTACTCAAAACACAACTGAAACCAAACTTCAGACTGCACAACATCCTGAGTTGCCTGACAAGTTCTTGGTTCCTTCACGGATGGAGATTTTTAGTCTCTTTGGACTCCCGTGTCCCAGTGTCTGACCACCACAATGTTTGCATCTCAAGGGAGCTCGGCTTGCTGCTGCTTGTGCCCTTCTGCTCCCAGGCTAAAGAGGTCTCTTCTGCCGCCGGGGCGGCTGTTTGCAGAAGAAAAGACACATTTCCGCTTAATTATGCGGGTGACATCATGATTAATGGGAGACGGATGGATAAACGACGAGCGCGTGATGGTTAAATCAGGAGCGCGTGAGCTGGAGCAGCCCAGCAGCCGGATCCCGAGCCGGATGCTCCCCATCCTCGAAGATGCAGGCAGCTGGGATCCGAGCACACGCTGGCCGGGCTGGGTTGAAGCGAGCTCGGGTGTTTTCGTGTTTCCATTTGCAGCACGGATAATGACAACATTTCCAAACGATTTATAGAAATGGAAAAAAAAAAAAAAAAAACACACACATAAAACATAATGCTTTGCTTGATCTTTTTGGCCTGAATATTTCCCAAAACATTATGTTTCTTGTGTGTGTGTTTTTTTTTTTCTTTTACATTTCTATAAATCACTTAGCATCCCTGTGTAAGGAAGAACACTACTGCTAAACATGAAATTCCAGGTGGGATTGCACTTACCCGCGCACGGTGCCCGTCTCCTGATAATTCACTTGGATGAACTTGCCGAAGCGGCTCGAGTTGTTGTTGTGTGCTGTTTTGGCGTTGCCAAAAGCCTGTTAAGGGAGAGAGAGAGATGCCATCRTTAGACTGGGAAGGCCACCACCATGCCTTCCCTGCAGGCACAGCCCAAGTTTGCCCTCAGTAGGTAATTAAGAGGAAAAGGAAAAAAAAAAAGTGGGGAAAGTCAGTCAAATGGTCTACAAAACAACATGATAGACCTCTGGGGACCACGTTGATTTGCAGGGTGATGTGCCTGAAGGAAGGATAAACACCGCTTAAAAATAACGCATTAGTTATACTAGAGACATTTAATATTTTAAACTTTACATTCTACATTAAGGCCTATATTTTATTCATGCAAATAAATATAGAAGTACATTGCTTCAACAAGACTCCAACTTTTAATAAGCTAAAGGAAGCTGCTTTTTAATTAGGTATGAAATGAAAGAAAACGCTTTGAAGGCTGCTCAGATGTCAGACAGGATAATATGTGATGCTCACCTAACCTATAGGATATTCAGGATTTCAAACACTTTTTTTTTTGCTGTAATTTTTCCCCAAATTGGAATAATTTAATTAATACTAATTTGGAAATACATTTTATTTTATTTAATGAACCTAACACGGACAGTCTGCGACTGCTCTTTAAAAGCAATCTCTGAATGAAGGAGCTGGACGAAATCTCTGAGCGTCGCATCTCAAAGCTGCTCACCCGAAATCTGGAATTCCCAGTTGTGCCCAGGGCATTTGAAAAATCCTGTTCCCACAGACAGGACAAGTCAATCTGCTAGGTATGGTTAGTGCTTCATTTCTTTAATCCATCTTGATAATCTTGTARCTTTTCTCCCAATCCAAACCTCATTCAAAGCAACCACATGCAAGATAATTTCCCAAAGCTGCCTGTGTACGTGCACCCAATTACAATTGCAAACACCTGCTGGGCTGAGACCAAATATCAGAACGGAGGTCCTAGCTCCCAAAAGAGTTATCTCCCACTCAGCTACTTTTCAGAAAAGATGGAAAAGAGGTTTAGCGTTTGCAATCCCAAGCTTTTCAAATGGCCTTTTCCGCTTTTGTTTTGCGGTCCAAAGGAGAAGAAACGTCACCCCCAAGGAAGCCTTCCCCAAAGGTAGCTGGTACCGTTCCCTTTACACATCCCGCCATGTCCCTCGGTGCTCACTTCTACTTTTCTCTTCCCCCGGGAACTTCATGTAGCTACACGTAGGCACAGGCTGTCACCCCGGTCCAGCCCGCTGGGGGAAGAGGATGAGGATGGTTGTCCCAACAAGCGGGGCCTGGCAGTGAACTGCAGGCCTGCCCATGGAGGAGGGTTGGGTGAAGCCCAAGGAAGGGCCGGAAAGCAGCAGAGTCAGCTCCGACTCACGGCCACAACYTTCCCCACCTGCAGTCCCTGTCTCCCCATCTCTGGTGCAGACAAATCCCCGAGGTGGGAAGCAGCACGGCTTGTCACACGGGGCGCTGCCTCTGGCTGGAAGGCGATTTCCTCGGAGGAGACCGACGGATTTTTCTCTTATTTGAATGCCCAAATTTGTTTAAATTCAAGGCGTTGCACTGCAGATCTGCTTCAGTTGACGGAAACGAGTCCGGCAGTACGATGAAGCTACCGAACGAGCAAGTCGTACCTGCACTCAGAGCACGGCGCTTGTGTCAAACACACAGCTGAGCAGCATTCCCACAGAGAATTCCRAAATGGTTTTAGGCCGCCCATGCTTGTTATCTGCTTATCCCCCTCCGAAATTGCCAAGCCAGAGACATGCCCACACCTGATGGTTTTCCATGCCTCCTCTTCCCCTCCCGAGGACATCGAGCCCCTTTCTGTGGCTTATTCCTACAGGCGAACATCCAAGCCATGAATTCTCCTGCTGATTTACAGCCCACTCCATCCACTCCTCCTGGAGTGATGCTTTACAGTCCCATCCCCAGCAAAGCTAGGCCTAACTGCTAACCATCTGCTGCCAACCCATGCACCTCTTCTCTCAAGTCCACCTGCTTGGCTCAATGTCCTACCTGGCCTCCAGAGCCTCCTCTTTCCAACCCCTAGGGCCCCGGATATGCATATTCCTTATACCTCAGTTCTTTAAAGCAATTGCTTTTCCTCCTGAGGCTCAGCTCCATGGGCCAGGAAGGGCAGGATTCAGGTGGAAGAGGTGGCGTAGCCCTGTCCTTAGGCTCCAAGCACCAGCAGGAATGGAAGAACAGGGATGGAACATGAAGACGAGAGAGATGAGTAGGCAATGAGAAAAGCCTAGGTGAATTCTCCTGGGGTTTCCTATGACCGCCTTAAACGTATTCCAGGCACTCTTTCCCCACAAATATCACATGAAAATGCACGAGCGCYATCTTAACAACTGCAGAGGATTTACTTAGTTTCTTCTTAACGGCTCCGCGTACGGAGATGCGGCACTAAACTCACAAGCAGAATATGTTTACATTCAACACGAGCTCACACATTGCCTTGGGTTCTCCAAACACCAGTAATCTYAGGAGAGTAATTCTATATTTGCAGCTTACCAGATGGTAATGTACTTAATAATACTAATTACTAGGAGCAGTTCTTTGCAGCAGGACTGAACACAACCAGGTGATGCCGTTTGCTTGAGTGCAGATGAGTCAGCAACAACCATGGACTTCTTCAGACCAGAGAGAAAGCAACCCAACTTCAATCACCCTTTCATATTATTAAAGAATTTAAACCACCAAAAACCTCAGGAGCATTTTAAGGTTCAGAAATGAAGGGAGAGGAGAGAAAAAACACCATATCTCCATCCCTGAGGAAGGAGGAACCTCATCCGCTACCCCACAGGTGGAAATAGGTCTTCAAATCTCTCCTGTGCTCCTTGAGCTCCCCATCTGGGAGCAGCTGGAGCRGATAAAGGGCAACATTTTTTTGAGGACAAGAGTGGGAAATTTAGGGAGGGCCTCAGGTCCTTTTTTTTTTTAAAGGAATGAGCTGCTTTGGCTTRCTCCAGATTAGCATGCCAGACCAGTATATCTTCTAGCCCCACAGCCTACGGAAACCATAACACACAACATCAGCCATCCATGCATTTTCCTTACTCTTTCTGTAAATGCAAAAGCGCTTCGATTCATGCCTTGTTAAAATTTAAACCAACTCCATGGCAAAGGCACACTGATAAAGAGCCAACAAGTAGCTCAAGGAATATCTGATGTTTAACTTGAGACAACTTAACACATTTTTGTTTGTTTTATTCACTGTGTTTCTTGCACGGAGCTATCAGGCTATAAAATAGGCTCTTTCCTTCCATTTAGGCTTGTCTAGAGTACACGGACTCGAACAGAACGCCACGTCCTTCTAAAGCCAACCGTGATAGCGCATAATAGAGATGGCTTGGCCTTGGAAAACACAAAAAAAATGAATCATAACTATTTCACTAAAATTACATTCTGTTCATATTAGTGCATTTTACCAGCTCATTGATTCGAAGCTGCAAGCGCTCGACGGAAAAACGCCGTAACAGCATTCCTGAAATTCTTAGGGAGACCAAAGCTTTTACTGGCCAGGGCTCAACGTTTGGAAGGAAGCAAATTCAATACCCTCCTCTGTGTGAGCAGCACGGCCCTCTGAGCTGGTGGCTGATGATTCAACAGCTCAGAGCATGGTGAATGCAGAGATAGTGGCAGCTCCATTCCTGTCACCTCCCACGGCACTTGTGCCCRCAGGGACGGCTCCTGAGGAAGGGGCTGGGAGCTAAATGCCTTGGGGCGAGCTGATTCACAAGGCACATTGAGACTGGCAGCAACGAACGCTCAGAAACCAGGGTTTTCCAAAAGTCATAAGACTTTCTAGCATTAAAGTGGTGCTGAACTGGATTGACTTCTAAGCTGATCATCAAGTCCTCCAAGTCTGTGTTCTCAAGCAGGACCATCACARAATGCCTAAGGTTGGAAGGAACCTCAGAGGTCACCTAGTCCAACTCCCCTGCTCATGCAGGGTCACCTAGAGCATGTGGCACAGGGCTGCATCCAGGTAGGTTTGGAACATCTCCAGAGAAGGAGACGCCACAGCCTCCCTGGGCAGCCTGTTCCAGSGCTCTGTTACCCCCACTGATAAGAAATGTCTCTTTAAATTCCTGTGGAGCTTTTGGTGCTTCAGTTTTTGGCCGTTTCCTCTAGTCCTGTCGCTGGCCACCACTGAAAAGAGGCCAGCCTCCTCCTCCTCACTGCCTCCCTTGAGGTATTTATACTCTGGGGGTCAGCGAGTCAAACTCACCAAGAAAGTGGACACATTCAATACCCATCTATTTTTTCCTCCTCTTTCCTCACCACACCGATGTTCATCTCACCCCACCTAGGGAACCACGGCACCAATTCAGCCCCACATAGCAATGGCACCTGGTGAGCCCGCATGCCAAGAGGAGACAACGTCTGCAAGGAAAGCACCAGGAAAAGGCACAGACCTTCACCTCCAGGCTCCCCAGCAGAACATTTCCCAAATAAACCTCTCCAAGCTGTGTTTGCAGCTATACTCCTTGAGGGAAAAAGTAACTGACATCGTTTATTCCACTGAGATATTTTTGCGGAGACTGAAGGGCCTGGGCCTAGCAAAAGATTTAGTTGCTCTTACATATGTGACAGACAAAAAATAGCTTAATTTTAGACGAGAAAGCTATGGAATGAGTCCAGCTCGATGCCAAAACAGTCCAAGCCCTGGCACGTTGGGAAAGGCAAGGAAGTGGGAAGATGACCTAAGTTTACAGCCAACACACGGCCTCAAAAAAGGTCAGGGCCTGAATGAGATGGCAAGCAGACAGCAGCGTAACGCTGGGGGCATTCGTTTCAAAGAGCTACATCCATAAAACCTAATGAATCCACGTGAATCCATGTCCATAAAACCTAATTAAATGCACTAACAGAACAAAGGCTTCCTCTATTATTAGCAGTTCTTTAATACCGAGTGTGCTGACCTGCAACAGCTGTCAAGCACAACGAAACAAGGACATCATCATATAACACAATTCAGTAACAGAAGACAGGCGCCTTTACAGAATAAATACCCAATCATAAAAGCCAT